AATTTTCTCCTCCTGAGAACTCCTTTTGATGTTCATATCATTCTATTGGCGTTCTGGATCACCCATAAATCTCTCCTCTCAAATGCAAAGGATCTCCACCACAAAATTGGAGAGTAAAGCTGTAAGAATGAGAGCTTAAGCCACTTCCTTTAACAAGCCTAACACAACCTTCCTAAAATAATAAATAAATGAAAAAGAAAAGAAGAGATGCGCAAATATGGGCACTAGATCTCTTTCTGACTCCATATGTATTTACAAAGAATGATAACCTTGGAGCAATGTAAGAGTTGTCGCCATGTGAATCAGAGGTCATAAGTTCAAGTTGTGAAAGCAGTTTCGGTAAGAAATGCAAGCTAAGGTTGACAGAATAGACCCAGCATAGTCTAACCCTTTCATGGACCTAACTCATAACGGGAGCTTACCGAACTGCACTTAACATATAAAACTGTAAATATAACTGGAAAGAAATTACCGAGACGGCTCACAAAGATTCAATTTAAAAATTGTTGATTCATATTTCAAATTGCCTTTACTGGGATTGGAAGAAAATATCTAACAAGTGACATATGGAACTTAGTAATTTCTATAAGAAGAATAATATCAGAGTAATCCATAGTCCATAACTTTGACCAATTAACACTAGCAACAGAAGGATCAATAGAAGTAGCTAATCTTTCATTAAAAAGTAGAGATAGATCTTGCTAGTATCCAGTAAATGTAGAAGCTAACATCTTGATTTCCATAAATAGGTAAAATATAGAACAGATGGTAGTCGTTATACATCCGAACTCCTTCATCCTCAATCGGTCTCGGATTCGAGACCTGGGTATGGAGTCGCCTTTATTAAAGAGTGTTTTATCTCCACTGTGAGACTTCTCGGCGCAAATCCGAATTTAGTCGGGCCCAATGTGGATATCCGACACCTGGTGGGAAACCAAAAAAAAAAAAAAAAGCGCTCATTCTAGAAGACTTATTGTGCTGTGTATCTAGTAATTGCTTCGTTTTGGCTATGTTTTCCTCTTCCTACTACACTTTTTCCATGCAAACATCTTCAAGAAATGACCTTATGTATCCGATGGATTCATAGCAAAGTTTGCATAAAGAATTAAGTTTCTTCAGATAAAAGTTTCTGGAATTATCCAGTATGCAGATTGTCACTTAAATGATTAACATGTAATAGGTTTCATATTCCGAGATGCAAGAGAAAAAGCAAGGCTTTGGTCTAGTGGTAAGAGCACAACACATGATGTGTGGGCTAGGCGCATATCATATGTTCGAGCCTTGCTACAGACAAAAGCCTGATATATAAGTGGAGAAAGGTACAGGGGCAGACTCATTATCTACACTAAGTTTCGAACCGTGCACCATTAACCTCGGGATTTCTAGATTATCAAAAAAAATAAAATGGGGAAGATGGAAGATGTTGTAGTAGTTGCGTCCCAAGTTTTCCTTAATATTGAAATATTCTACCAATTATTTGATGGGAAGAATGAAAGACAACTTGACATATTATGATTGTGTTGCCTCTTTAATCAATTTTAAGGTCATCGAAAATTGTTAATGACTATGAGCCCGTTTGGATTAGCTTAAAATGTGTTGGAGCTTATTTTATAAATAAACAGATTAGTTTTCTGTTCGGATAAAAGTGCTGAAACTTAAAAAAAAAGTTGTTGAATTGTTCGATAAACAAATGGTGGTAAGCTCTTTATCTATTAAAAAAACAAAAATATCCTTAAAGCTTCTGGAGCACTTGCCCAGGTGATTGCAACTAAATAACTCAAGCCCACTATGGAAATCGTTTTGAACACCATTAATTCCATGTTGAATTGTCTTCTAAATCTTATTATTTTTTAACATTTGGTGTGCTATACAAATTTCTTGTATTCTGCCATGTTAAATTTTCTCATTTTAATGTGCTTACTCGACCAGATATTTATACTTCTCAAATTTGTCCTTTTTAAAATAGATATTTGGACTTTTAAATATGAGACTATCATCTATTTAGAATGTGTCATATGACATCTTATGATTAGCCATTTCTTTTTGTTTCAATGGCAACTCATTCATAAACTGTTCATATCAATTTAGATGTCACTAAAAGGTACTTAGTTCAATCTTTTGACATCTAGTGTCTAATCCTTTAATAAATTTAGTTTTTAAGTGGTGATTTGGGTATGAAGTAGACACTAATTCTGGTCCTTTGTTGTATTTAAATTGGAAATCGTTCTATCGCATGCTTCTTTTCTTACCGCTGTGATTGCTTTGAGAGAAAATCCGATTTCTGAATCATGCAATAATGACAATCAACCTGGAGACAATGATGTAAGACAATGCTGCAAATTATATTAGATTCTTGGACTAGATTTGTCATATTCTCAATAGCAAACTTAGATAGTTAACTGAATTACACACTAAAGTGTGCGTAGAATTTTAGGGTACGTAAATTTACTTGGATAACAGAATGTAAATAGAGCAAAAATCATTTATAGCCACTCGGGCCAAACCTATAATATTCGGTAGCCCAAAATTACAATACAAATTTTATAGTCCAAAATAATTCTAGTGGCTAGCCCAAAAGTACTGCTTTCTGCTTTTTTCTTCAGCAACTCCAATTTTTGTTCTGTGATTCCTCGATTGAGCTCTTCAGTTTCTCGATTCTCCGTTTGATCACATCGTTCTCGTGAAGAAGCTGGGATTTCTCTTGCTCCAGTGCTGCTATCTTCTGTTTCAGTGCAAAGGTTTTCGACGCAACATCGAATGTTTCGTCGACGGCGATTTCCACTGGCGCATCGTCATAAACCTCGCCATTGGTAATGTTTTTCATCCGCCATAGTCAAACCTGAAAATAGTAAGCAAAATTGTTGGGAAATGGAGAATAAATAAAATTGCAGTTTACTTCAGCAGCCAAAAATACAAAAATTCTCCTCAGAATTTGAAAAAATAATCCGAAAATGAGTAGATCTGTAACAGCGCCATGGAAGCAGCTTCTTCTCAAGTCCCTCACCTCCAATTCCCATCTTAAGCATTCCACCTACTTTCAGCTCGTAAAATCCCTTCATTTTTGTTCCAATTTTTTTCTTAATTTTATTAAAAAGAATTTCTAAAACAATAAAAATCAGTTTTTATGATCCAATTTTGCTTCTGGTATTATTAGGCTATTGTTGGATCCAATGGCAGACCTTCTAATCGAACTGTTATCTTCAGGTCTGTTTTTTTAGCCTTTTAGGCTTATAATAATGCTAAATTCAGATATTTTTTCATTTTCATTTTGGGTGTTTTGTTTTGTTTTTTTGCATAGGGTTTCAAGATGGTACTAACAAGATTCAAATTAGTACATTAAATTATACAAAATTTATACATTGTAGAACAGTCTATACACTTTGGATACACAAAAGTGCTCAGGATACATTAATGATATATCATGGATACATTGGAAGATGCATGATACACCCTATATACAAATTTTATGCAATTTATATACTAAATAGACTTTCACTATACAAAAAATATACAAAAATAGCCTGTCATTATACACAAAAATATATAAAATAGATTGTCACTATATAAAAAATGTACAAAATAGATTGTCATTATACAAAAATATACAAAATAGATTGTCACTATACAAAAAATATACAAAATAGACTGTCACTGTACAAAATAGATGTAACTATACAAAATACATACAAAAAAGATTATCACTATACAAAAATACATGATACACTCTAAATACACAGTTTGCACACATTACACATACAAAATGTGTATATAATTTATATACACTATGTTTACATATTAGAAAATACACATGTATATACAATTTTAATACATTGTTTAGACAAATTATACATTCACGATACAAAATACACTTGGGGTACACAAATATATACACTTTAGATACACAAGNATTTTTCCACTTGTATGATTGAAAAAGACCAAGTCGAACTTGGAAATTAACTAAAGAAAGGAGATGAAAATCACCACTAATTATGTGTTAGAACTCCTAAGAAAGAAAACCTTTTGGAGGGAAGGGAAAAAAGGATTGGCGTGTGGTTTATTGTAAAAAGAAGCTTCACTCCTTTGTTTGGTTATGGAGCAACACTTGATATTTTTTAAAGCTGATGTAAGAAGTCTTGATTTTTATTATTTTCCATTGAATCAAAGACTTAATTGTAATGTAATAAGGTATTACTGTTGGGAAAATAGTAAAATAATTGGTAGCTGATGAAAAAATCTTGATTTTTTTAATAACGTTTTATGTTCAATCAAAGATTTTTAGTAGTATTGTTAACAAGAATAAAGTGGGGGAAAAGGTGTTAAGAATTAAAAGAATTTAAGAAAAAAAGTAAAAAAATATAGAAAAAGTAAAAAGTCAAGTGCGATACTTAAGAAAGAGAAAATAATTTGGTATTGGGAAGGAAAAATATCTATGGAAGATAAAAAAGTAAGAAAGAGAAAACAATTTGGTATTGGGAAGGAAAAATATCTAGGGAAGATAAAAAAGTAAGAAAGAGAAAACAATTTGGTATTGGGAAGGAAAAATATCTAGGGAAGATAAAAAAGTAAGAAAGAGAAAACAATTTGGTATTGGGAAGGAAAAATATCTAGGGAAGATAAAAAAGTAAGAAAGAGAAAACAATTTAGTATTGGGAAGAAAAAATATCTAGGGAAGATAAAAAAGTTAGTACCAAAATTTACTTTTGTCTTTTGCCTGTCGGTTGTATCCGATGGGCTACAATTTGATATTAGTTTTATCAGATTGGACATTTCGGGTTACGTGCAAAACTTTGGGCTAATACTTTTTTCAACGGCCATACACAGTAGTTTTCTCATGTAAATAAGACTCAATGTGATTCTGCACTGTCTCCTTGAGGACACCAAGAATGTCATTCACTTGAGATCCAGCATACTTATTCCCAGATACTTATCCAATTTCCGCAAAAACTCACCAAAATAGAACTGCACTTGTATTGGCTAACTGAATGCTTTCAATCTTCTTTTCAATCCGGCGAGCATAGTTTAATAGATTGAACATATTTTGCCCCAACCTCCAAGATTTTCTCTACCATAGCAACATTGTTCCTCATAAATTTTTTACTACAGCGTGAAGCAATAACATCAAGCAGAACCTCTATGCAGGAGGATTCCACCAAGTACCTAAAGCTAAAAGCACAAGGATATAGAGAAATTTAGTAAAAATATCAGTGATGTCAGAGAGATCATCACCCCAAAAAAGAGGTTACATACTTGATTTGAGTATCATTCTCATTGGCAATAACAATATTAATTGTTGCGGCAACAACATAAATGATTTTGTCTACTTGATAAGGGTCTGACTCACCTGCCTTCAGAGTTTGAAGCAAATTGACCAGACTTTCTATAAATCCAGCCGCAATCACAGCCTGCTCACAATTACAAACTATTCAAATAAATGACTATGATTTCATCCAACGAAAGGTCTCACTAAAAGAAAAAGAAAAGAGAAAATTTGGGGGGCATTTCTATTCCAAATACTACAACCAACTATTTCAATCTCATATTCACCAATTCAACTACCCCAAGATCTGCAAAATCTGTTAAGACCTTAGAAAGCATGAGGATAATGTACCCAAGAGCTGAATATTTTAGCTGTCCTTCTAAATATTGAAGACATACCTCTAAATTTCCACACTCTATAATCTCATAGATAATGCTGCAAATGTTGGTGACCACATCTGCGTCCTCGTTGTGGTTATCAAGCAACATCACCAGGCAATCAAGGTATGCGGGATTGAACTGGGTGGTGAAGTTAGTTATCGTTAGTCAAAAACAAAGCAATATGCATGCCTGACACAGTTACATTTTAATAAAACAAAAAAGGAAGAAAAATATTCTAGCGATCTTTGCATAATGCACGCATCCAACAATTATGGCACGTAGCAGGTTGCACCCATTCATTTTGTTTAAAATCTTGTTTGGCGGGGAGCTTTAATGAATGGGTGGGTTCTACGGAGACTATTCGAAATTAGGCATTGGAAGCTTGGGGGTGGTAGATGTAACAGGAGTGTCTCCACTGGGAGGTACTAGGATTTCTTTCCACATGAAGGGGATAGGTGGATGGGAGTAAGTTTCATGAAGCTGGAAAGGTGGGAGGAGCGGTATGGGTGTGTCGATCCTAAGCACAAGATTTGATAGTCATTTTGATCATATGTCTTGTCACAGAAAAGTCAACACTAAGACAACCACTATCGATAACTGTAGATTTACATAGGTTGCTGACTACTATTACAATAACTAAAAAAAAACTAAAAACTAAGAGTAGCTGTGTAGGAAATAAAAATGATAGCTGTGTAGCATGCTAGTAGATGGGTCATATGTATAGAGAACCCAAACTGAATCCAGTAGCTAACATACCCTCAATGCTATAAAGTCAAGAAATGAAGTGAAAATAAAAAGATCAAATTTGAAGTTGATTCAGGAACTTGCTGAATTATCATCTGAATGCATATTGTTTATGATGTTTTCACCTTTCAATCATTTTATTTTGTTTTGTTTTATTTCGGTCCTATTTTCATTGGTTAATTAATCAAAGTGTTTGGATTTAAGCACAAAAGTTTCTAAAAGCTCCTTAAGACCCATGTACCTTTTTTCCATCAACAATCTTTACAAGTATTTTAAGGAAGGGGATTATTACTGAACGAGACTCGTGCCTGAAACATCAATTGACGTACATATCAGATTCAACCATAAGTTAGATATAAAAAAGTAGGTTAAATGAGGAAACTAAAACATTTCGCACACAGGAGAAGTCCAAACAGTCGGTCATAAATATCCCAGTTATTGTGGTGTTGGATAATGCCATGTAGACCAATACAGTAAGAAAGTGCACAACATACATTTGTTAGCACCTCATCATCATCTGAACGAAGAAGCTCTAAAAGAGAACAAACTGCTAGAGTAACCTGACAAATGAATAGTAATCAGTAATGTAAAGACAAATAAGTTCTTTCTTTCATTTTTACCAAACCTGTGAGGATTTATTTCAATTTTTAGCAATATGAAATTGGCTCTCTATTTGGAGCAAGCTACAAATAGAGTCTTGAAAAGCACTTAAAATTGACACATCGAGAGATATTTACATTCAATACCTCCAATAATACAGGAGGAATATTGAGGAAAGACATGATATAGCTAGTGTTGTCTGCTCATTTCAAAAATAAATAATTTTTTTCTTTTAAAAATTTCAAATCCAATTTATTTGACGATGTTTGATAGGTCCTGAATTTAAGATGTTAAATTTGACTTATCTATTACTATTAGTGATAGTAAAAGAAGAAGTTAAGCAACGACTTAGTTCGATAGAGGAAACATTACATCAAATAGTTTAAAAGTGGTGAAAATTGCATAGAAATTGAACGATAAAGTGTCACATAAATTGAGTAAATCATTTTTTTAAGGTGATGGAAGATGGTAGTGATGGTATTTTGAATGCTTAAGGAAAAACAATATCTTGAATTAAATAATTGCAGGCGTAAGAACTTTTCAACGGTCATTCAAAAAATCAGTGACAAAGTCCTCGTGGCTTTTCTCTACATTGAAATATTGTTGTTTGCCTCCTTTAACTTTTTCAGCAAAGGAGTCAAAGCACCATGGTTAAGAACACAATCACAATTACAGGCAACAATGTCTTCCACTACCAGCACAGCCTATAGATGGAAAGAAAATACATTCAGCCGGCTAATCATTATACAACATATGGGGACGGGGGACCGGGTGGGCTCTTCCAATTATAAAACACACCTTCTCACAAAGACTTTCATCTGGAGAGTCCAGAAGCTTTACAAGAACTTCCACCATCCCATATTCAACCACATCAAATATATAAGTGAGGTGGAAAGAGAAAATGAGTACGAGAATCCAAGCAGAATCATCCTATGAATGTAAAACCATAAGGATAAAGCAAGTGCGAAGCTGGAACCGCAAGACGCTAAAGAAGGCGCAGAAATGTAATCAATAACACATCACTGTCTACTTTGAGCTGTTGCGGCAATCTGGCGTCTTTATAAACTGATCAAATCGAAGAATAACACTAAACGTTATAGCTTCGCAAAGATCAAATGTCTTATCTGTGGAAAAAAATTGGCAAAGTAAGTGATAGGCAAATTGAATAAAAAAATTAGCCCGGAGCAGGCTTAGTCATCATAGTGATAGAGACCAGTGTTCAGAATTGTTTGGTTGCTATGCCCTGCAGAATTGTATGATCGGACAAAATACCAGCAACTGCTAATTCAAGACTTTCCAGTAAACCAACCATTCAGAAAACCACATATCAGCCTATAGTTGGAAAGAAAATACAACATGTCGTAGGGGTCTAAAAACACCTGATTGGTATACAGTTTTTGAAATATTGGCTCCAACAAATGGTCAATCGCAAGAGTCGAGGAGCCACCAAAAGCACTGGTGAGAACCCAAGCAGCTTCAACCTATGAATGCAAAACCATAAGGATAAAGCAAGTGTTGGTTAAAAAGCTAATAATTAATTCTCTACCTAGAGCTGCCAAGAATCTTTGTTGCTCAGAAACTCAACAAATCGAGCAACATGAGACCTGACTTCTCCAGCATGAAGACTCCTTGTGATATCAACCAAGTTCGAGAGTCGTGATCCTGGATCATGATTAGTCATACTCATATCAACCAATTTCCGGGCTCGTGAGGTCCCCGCCAGCTGCCGATCGTTATTATCCGACTAAACATCCTTCACCCATGATGTCTTCTGTAAACCAATAATTCATTATTAAATTCAACATTGCAGACAAAGCATGTAAGCGAACAAAAGACATCAATTCGTACTAATCAAAAATTGATAAAACAAGAAAAAGAAAAAGGAAATAAAAGTCCACCGGACGCTTCGGAGTTTCTCGCTTCGTCTTTCGGATCTTTCGGATCTTAACAGCCACAGTAGCACTTCTTAATTTACCAACAGGCATCTTCGTAAAAACCCTAATTAGGGCAAATAAAAGCACGGAGCAATTAGTGTAGCTCCTTTTAAACCTTTTGGTTGTATTGTGTGACGACCCAAAGGATCATCACCGATTTTCTCCCTTTTTCCGTGCTTCGGAGGCCTTGAAAACCTCACCTTTAGTTGCCTCGATTTGCGTGCACAGTCCGGGCGCGTAGCCGGAAAAACTTATGTGTTATATTATGTGAAATTTGATAAATTATGGCTTTAAAATGGTTAAAGTTGACTTTGATCAATATTTTGGGTAAACGGACCCGGACCCGTGATTTGATGGTCCCGGAGGGTCTGTAAAAAAATATGGGACTCGGGCGTATGCCCGGAATCGATATCCGAGGTTCCGAGCCCGAGAAATAAATTTTTAAAAGAAATTATTTTTCTGAAATTTATTTGGAAATTTGAAATAAAAATGAATTAGAAAGCATTGGTATCGGGCCCGTATTTTGGTTCTGGTGCCCGGTACAAGTCTTATATGTAGTTTAAGATGTTTCTGTGAAGTTTGGTTTAAATTGGATGTCATTTGATGTGTTTCGGACTTAAAACTCTAAATTTGAAAGTTTATGAAGTTTGAAGAAAAACTAGTGATTTTGAGGCTTGATTCGTTGTTTTTGATGTTATTTTGGCGATTTGATCGCATGGTTGAGTTTGTAGGATGTTTTTGAGTTAGAGTGCATGTTTGGTTAGGAGCCCCGAGGGCTCGGGTGTGATTCGGATGTGTCTCGGGATGGTTTTAGCATTAGAAAAAGTTGCAGAAAGTAGCAGTTCTGGTGTTCTGATATTTAATTCTATGCGATCGCATAGGCAGCATCGCGATTGCATAGTGTAATCTTCCAGGTGCCCAGTTTTGTTCTATGTGATCGCATAGATTCATCCGCGATCGCGTAGCTTAGCCACAATTCATTCAATGCGATCACATCCTTCTTCCGCGATCGCAGTTCATAAAACCAAACCTGAAAGTGCGAAGTCCTTTCTTCTA